CGAAAGGGAAATAGGCGTCGCCGTCCTCGGATCTTAATTAATGTCCCTATTAGGGAGCTTAACCAACAACGACCGTGACGGCAGTGAAAACGTCACCATTAGTCAAGACCTGCAGCCTGTTTTCACTCTCTTGTGCCGTCTCAATTCATCCAATTTGTCTGTCTTCAACATATTTACAACCCACAGTACAATGGAATTGTTGTAGAAATATTTCAAAGAAAATATCAGTATCAACTAGAATCAGTTACATTTATGACTATCCTTGCCAACTGAGAGGGAACAATGATGGTTATGGTGTTTGATTTTCATTATTCTACTGTAAGTTTAAGAAACTCATAATTTCAAAATCGTCACAAATCGTAACTCTACCGCAATCACCATATTATAAAATTCATCCATCTTTGTTGGAAACCCAGAACGTTTAATCCTCTTCTCAGCGCATTATGGGAGATGTGCAAGTGGCGTATAGCTAACATTTTTGGGTATATTCCAAATGCATTGTTACTGCTGTCCACGTGGCCAAACCTGGAGACTATAATACCCCTGAATAATGAGTGGTTCTCACTCAGTAAACACGAGATTGAAACTAAGATTTGCCATGTTGGAAAATTCTATAAAGATCTAACTTTGTGTATGTACTGTTTACGGCCATATATGCCTCTTGCTTATCTCCTATAATGCACCGGCCCCCCAAATTTTGCATAACCTTTGTTTTTCATTCTCTTAGGTAATACATCCGTCCCAAGAGAAATTGAACACAATGCTTATGCAAAATTTTGGGGGGCAAATAAGGTGCACCACGGGAGATGTACACGTGGCGTAGGCACATTTTCTACGTATAAGTTGACCCGTCAATCAAATCGCACTCCAATAGTCCCTTTCGTTGTGGTTAATTTTATCCTTGGTTTAAATTTTATTTTTCCTTGTTTTGGGATATGATAACGTATTTTAATGAGTTTAAAACAAAGGGAAATAGAATTTAAGCCAAGGATAAAACTGAACCACAACTTTATACTAAAACAATCAATTTTCTATATCGGGGAATAGTGACTTGGGCAATATTTACCCAGTCGCCTCTATTTCAAAGAATAATTGTTATATATTGTGATGTACTCTTCGCCTTCAAAAAATACTGTTTAATAAAGTGATCTTTTTTCGTTTTACCTATTAAGTCCCTGGTTGTTTACTATTTTAGAAAAAGTTTGCGGAAAATCTGGTTGGAAAGTAAATGGAACACGATTTTTTGTGTCGTTTTAGTGGAAAATTTCTGGGAGCTACGAAACGTCTGAAAAGGTAGCACTGTTTTCCCGGTCGGAATGTTCCACACGGAGATTCATGGTCCATTACTCCAAAGCCATCTTTTATACGAGTTTCTGAAAGGCTTTCGCGGACGTTTTGCAGTATATGGAACTGATCTGTAGAAATGGTAAACGTGATTCCGTAGCGAAATTAACCAGTACTGAATTTTGTTTACCATTTGCCCAAACGGTGAACCGACCGGTTTGCGGGTGTAAATGGTAAAACAGCCCCCGCTGTCACCCGCGTACCTGTTCTACCCTGGGCTACCAACTTTTCATACTTTCCCTTGCTAGATTGGTGAACCGTTAGATGACCCTTTTTTGTGATGGTAGGGTCATCCTACTAGCTTTACAAACTTCCCTCCGTATAAACACTCGGCTTTGGAACGCCAGCCAGGTCTACTCGGGACAAGCATAGGCGAGACAATCAGAACATATGCGAGCACTGTTGGCTTGGGCAAAGGCGTCAGCTTTTCTTGCATGAAATGTAACCACTCGTTCAAGTTGTCTACTAGAAACTTTCAGATAGACCTTCCCCGCATTTGGCTCGAGTGAGCACACACTATGACACGAGGTCGAGTCTTGGGTGGACAATTTCATATAATTATTATGTTGTATAGAAGAACACAGCTAGATCACTTAACGTTGTTGGATTTTTGAGGTCTCAGGCATACGCGACGTTAAGACCGCAAGGTAACGTGCCGGCTAGCTGTGAATTCTTTGCAATGGGCAAGTTTCGAATTATCAAAATACATACTTGATACAGAGACTGAGGGAAACAAACAAACTAAAAAAATAATAATGAATTATTCATCCCTGGATCTCAATGCGATTGTTTTTTTATACCCCTCAGAAATTACCGGATAGATGATAAAGAATACTCAGCGATTATGCGTGATTTTTGTTGTTTAGTAAAATTCTGAGGGAAATAGAGTGGCGAAATAAAAGATATTGACGAATAGAAGGGAAAGGTTTACTTTGCCTTTATCGTTTAATTATTTAGCGCAGCTAATATGGTCACGAGGTCCGTTAGAGTAGCCAAGAAAGGGAAAGGGAAAGGGAACGTTAGTGTCAAGGCCTTACTATGAAGTGCGGTCAATTCGTTTAGGGTTCACTTTTTCCAAAGGGAAGCAGGGAGCCTTCTGGACCTTCGTCCCGGATACGTCACAAAAAAAGGCCAGTCACGCATAGGGACTGGACAC